GCTCATGAGGAGAGCAGAAAAGAGCAGCCCACAACTAGACACAAGAAGAGTTTGGCTGACACATTGCTCTGAAATCCCTGCCTGAGAGCAGAGGAACTCCTGGCATTCTTTGGCAAAGTGTGCTTGTGCCAACAGTTGGGGCACTATAAATCTTTGCCAGCAAAGGCTCCTGTTCACCAACACTCCTTCCATGGCCATGTGGGAGGGAAGTAGCCCTCTGGGTCCTATCTCCAGCAGCTGGCTTCCTCCTCTGTCCAGCGAGCTCCTGGCGGTGTCTCAAGGGACTGGACTCGAGAGTGACTCTCTAGAGAGAGAAGGGGAGAGCGAGCCAGCCCCGGCCTTGGCCGCACACCGCTGGAGAGCAGAAGGACTGGGAAGGACTGGTGTGGAGGCACCCACTCTGCTCTGCCGTGCCGCAGTGTCCCGGGCTCTGGGGGACAGGCAGGAGAGTGGCCCTGCAGCCAGGTGCCTGTCATGGTCAGTCGTCTGGGTGTAGTCATGCTGTGTTCCCCAGAAGACACAGAAGGACCCCCAAAACGGAGCCAAAGTTCTCTGCAGAGGCAAGGCCAAGCGCCAGCATCCTGAAACACATAGGAAACGCATGAGGCATTGGCACAGTGGATGAGGAACCAGGCCAGGTCTGAGCAAGTTGAGGGAAAACCACTGTCCTGGTTGGAGCAGTGTGTCCTCCTCCCTGTGGGATCTGCCCAGAGAAAAACCAGAGAGAGACAAATGAGAGACCCAAGCCTGACAGTGACAACATTGGATTCTGCTCTGTTCTGTTTACAGTTTAGTATTTAAGGTTTTATAAATGTAAATATATTTTGTATATTTTTCTATGAGAAGCACTTCATAGGGGAAAGCACTTATGACGAGGCTTTTTACAGTGGTATTATCCTAATTTAAGAGAATCTCTTTTTAATGATTTTTTTATTTTCATAGGACGGTTCTTGGAAATACCTGGCTGGACACAGTCTGAGCCTTTCTCCAGTGGGGGGGTTGCTTTAGTTTTGTTTTCTGCTCTTGTTCTGCCTTTTTGACTTCAGTAACTGTCTCCGGGAGGGTTGACTGGACCTTAAACTGTATTTGCCCATAAGGACAGGGGCAGGAGGGAGAACTGCCCAGCACAGTATGAGTTTCGCTCTGTGGGAGGACAGTGTGTGATTCGGGCAGATAGTCTGATCCTGCCTTGCCCGTGCTGGTATCCTGCAAGGGTTTAAAAAGGAAAAGCAAGATAGGATGAGAGCTGACCCTCCATACCTCTTTGCTGGGAGGCCAGTCTGAGACACACACCTCCTGGCACAGTCTGTCCTTCAAAGGCAGGTGGGTTTTTCTGTGCAGAAGGGAAAGCAGAAAGTGCCCTCGCTTTCCCAAGCTTTCCTGGTGGTGAGGTGGCAGTTGTTACAGGAGCCACTCTTCCCGGAGCTGATGTATCCGAGGGCTGCTCTGAACCAGTGCTGGCAGTTGGGGAAGGGAGCGGGAGTGCCTGCTGACTCCCCAGGTCTCTCCGAGGGGCATCCCCCATCCTCACCTCTCTGGTCTTGAGACTTCTTCCTCTGCCCTGAGAAGGAAAAGCAGCGCTCGGAGGTTCAGAACCTGCCGATTTCCTTTTGTTATTGCACTGTGTGAGGATAATTTGTTGGTAACTGTTGAAAGCAAAGTCACATTGAGGCTGCATTTGTTACTGAGATTATTTGATGCACTGACAGTTTGGGAACGCACATACTTTGAGGAGCCCAGCGAGTGCCCACCCAGGGGATCTGGGCCCCGTGGCCCGGAGCACAGCTGCTCTTGGCCCTTTTCCTTCCGTTTCTGAGGCGGGGCAGGGGCATGGCCCTCGCCATGGCAAAGCCTCTGAATTTATCCCAGAGCTCAGCTTTCTCACCCGCGCTACCCCGATTTCCTGGCTGCGGGAGGAGGTTCCACTGGGAAGCTCTGCCCAGAGCCACCCCCCATGGGGAGAAGTGGGAAGGAGGGTCGAGGGGAGCGCTGTGCCTCAGAAGTCCCCCAAGGTCCAAGTGCCAGGTGACCTCCTCCTGCCGGGACCAGCCGAGCCAGCGGGCTGCCCGCTTTGCTGCTATTCCCGTTGTGGCCAGTGAAACTGTCTGTACCCCCAGGGAGCCAGCCCGGGCTCGAGGGGCAAGTGGCAGCAGGGCTGGGGCAACCAGGGCAGCTGAGCCTGCCCACCCTCAGCCTGGGCTGACCAGGAGCGCCCGGCTCCCCATGTATGAATGTATATTTTATAAGGACTGACACAGATCATAGTATCTGAAAATACTAAAAAAAGGAACCTTAGGGCGTTTTGGGGTTTTTTTTTGTACAAACCAACTGTTTTTTTTTTTAAAGGAGAAGCGGGTCATTGCAAAGGGCTGGGTATCTTTTTTTTTTTCTGGTTTTCTTTCATTTCAAAGCAATACCAAGTTCTTCAGCAGGACGGTCTGTGCAGAATCATGCCATTCACCCATACACTGGTCCACTCTCAACACTTGCAAATTTTTTTATAACTATAAATACAATATATATAGGAACTAATATAGTAATGCACCGTGTAATGAAGCCTAGTTCAGTATCGGTTCATGGCTTTTAATTCTCTTTAACACTATAGATAAGGATTGTGTTACAGTTGCTCACAGCTCCAGGAAAGCCTTGCTGCTCATTCCCCACTGGCAGCCAGGGCCAGAAGCGGGGAGCGGGTGGTTTGGCCTTTCTTGGCCCTTCTTGTTACAGTCAGTACTTGTACAACTTGGTTTCTTCCTTTCCTTCCTCTCGTTTTGGTTATGAATGTTGGGGTACCACCTGCATATAGGGAAAAATGTGCTCTGTGCTTTCCTGGTATCTTTTTAACAAGGTGCAGTAGCTTTCGTCTATCAGCCGAGAACTATACTTGTGGTGTTTCTTTTATTGAACTTACAGTCTCTTTAGTAACTACAGGTAGGTGAATAATTGTTTCAAAAAAAAAAAAAAGAAAAAAAAAAAGCTCTGCAAAGGCAAGGTTATGTTCTAGAAATACATTTCTTGACAACTTATCATGTATAACAAAACTTTTTTTTTTCTTGTGTTCTTCCAATCTACTGGTTGTTTGTTTTTTTAGTTATTTTTGGCTTTGGTTTTTTGGGTTTTTTTAAAAAAAGAGGAAATGTGTCTAAAGTACATCAGTGTTAACTCCCTGCCACAGGGAAGAAGGAAATACTTTAATAGTTTAAAAAAATGCTGAAAGCTCTGCAAAAGACTGAATGTAAAAATAAAAAGTGTACATAGTTGTAAAAAAAAAAAAGGAGTTTTTAAACATGTTTATTTTCTATGCACTTTTTTTTATTTAAGTGATAGTTTAATTAATAAACATGTCAAGTTTATTGCTGCAGAGGGCTCTCTCCATTTCTTCTTGAGAACTGAGAAGCTGCTACTTCTCCAGGATACTCGCAAGGTGTGGAGCCCCTGGGCAGCACCAAGGGCTGCACAGGGTGTTCAGTGAAGAGCCCTCGGCTCGTGTGTGCGGGTCACCTTGGGTCACTGCTGGGGCACTGGCAGGCGGCGGGGCCTCAGCCCAGGCTGCCATAGGGCGAGGCAGGGTGAACATTAACTGGGCTGTGGCAGCCTGCTCGTGCCTGCGGACTTGTCACAGGCCTCAGTGACACAGCAGCATGGCCACAGCGAACGACAGGGCCGTCCTGCAGACCATCTTTAACCCCAGCACCCCTTTTGGGGATATCCCAGGGCTGGATGAGGAGGAGGAGGATGTCCAGGATGAAGGTGAGTGATGGGTGTGCCAGGCAGGTTCTTGCTGGAATTGTCATCAGGGTCCCCACAGGATGAGCAGTGGGGCAGGGAAGGAGGCTCTGGTGGCTGGGAGCAGTGCCTGCTTGAGGATGGACATCAGCACCCTGACCTGTTCCCTGCCGAAAGGCAGTGTAGGGTGGCAGTGGGACTGGGCCCCGTGGGTCGTCCTGGTGCCTCCACTTCCCGGCCACTCCCGTTCACACTGCAATAGTGGAACCTTTTCCGCTGGAGCTGTTGGATCAAGTCCGGGAGCTGGAGCTGCAGGGGGTTTCTGCGGCTGAGTCGGGAGACCTAAGCACGGCCCTGGAGCGGTTCAGTGAGGCCATTCGCCTGCTGCCCGAGCGTGCCTCGGGCTACAACAACCGAGCCCAAGCCCTGCGCTTGCGGGGAGACGTGGCAGGTGAGCAGCGCGGGTGCGGGTGGTCTCCCGGTACCCCGGTGGTCTCCCGGTACCCCGGTGGTCTCTCGGTACCCCGGTACCCCTCGCAATGGCCCCCTTCGTTGCCAGGTGCCCTGCAGGACCTGGACGCCGCCATCCGCCTGAGCCGCGGCCGCGGGCGCGCCGCCTGCCAGAGCCTCGTGCAGCGCGGCCTCATCCGCCGGCTGCAGGCGCGGGACGAGGACGCGCGGCGGGACCTGGAGCGCGCAGCGCGCTTGGGCAGCGCCTTCGCCCGGCAGCAGCTCGTGCTGCTCAACCCCTACTCCGCGCTCTGCAACCAGATGCTCTGCGAGATGCTCGGCCGGCTGCGCAACCCCGATGGAGCTGGAAGCGACTGAGACGGGCAGCGAGAGGGCTGGGTAGAACCGTGCTCCTGAGCTGGCCCGGGCAGACCTGTCCTGGTGGTCAGAAAAGGTCCACCTCAGGTGCCAGAGCTCCTGTTCCTCCTCCCGGCTATCAGCCAGGGACTGGAAAGTATCAGAGCACCTTGCTGTGTTTGTCTCGCTCTGCTCCACCCCGAATAAACCTCCCTCTGTCCCCAGCACCTGGGCTCTGCTTGCGACATTGCAGGCATTGTGGTGGTTCCCAAGCGTGCGCAGCGCCGCTGAGATGGGTGGCCCGGTGGGTGCAAGTCAGGGCCCTGTTCCTTGGAGAGGGGAGCTCGGAGGCACGGGGCCGCGCATCCCCTGTCCCAGCCGGGCAGTCTCGGGCCAGCCCCGGCCCCGCGGCTGCGCGCAGCGACGCCGCTCGGGGAAGGCGGCGGCGGGAGGGATGGAGGGATGGATGGATGGATGGATGGATGCTCGCAGCCGGGGCCCGCCCCTGCGCCGCCTGCACTGCCCTGCGTGCCGGGGCCCGGGCGCAGAGCCGCACTGCAGACTGGGCTGGACACAGAAGCAGCAATGCTGCAGGTAAGGTGCAGCTGGGCCACATCCTCCGACCCTGCTGTGTGCTGGAACACCGGGGCCCAGCGTGGTGGATGCGCTAACGTCCCTGCTCTAGCTGCCTCTCTCCTAGCGCTGAGCACGGCTGATATAACATGGGGTGTCTCAGCGGCTGGCCGGGGGCTGCCTTTACCCTCCTGCTGCTACTGCTGCTCAGCCTCCTGGCGCTCTGCTTAGCAGGTGAGGCTGTGGTGGGGTCCGGTGCATGACTCCCAGAGCAGGACCCCTGCCACAGCTCTGATGTGCGGTGGGCTCTCTGGCAGCACTGGAGGAACTGGGCCCCACCACTGACAGGCAGCCGCACACAGCGTGCACCCTGCAGGAGGGGGAGAGTCGTATCTTCACCTGCTGGGTTCCCCGGCCAGTCCCCGGTGCCACACTGGCCTGGTACCTCAACGGTCAGAAACAGGAAGCCAACCTCTCAACTGCAGACACTGCCAGCATCCTCACTGGCCAGCGCTCCGACCACCAGCTCAACTGCTCCCTGACCATCCCGACCTCCAGTGAGACCTACAACACCTCCATCCTTCTCAGTGTGCAGTGTAAGGTCCTCGGTGCCGGCCTGCTCCAGACTGGGATGTGGGGAGGGCATGTGGGGCTCCCATCCAGCTCGGGCAGGACCATAACCTGCATCCATCACAGCCATAGCTGGGCAGCATCTTGTCAGTCCTGTGCAAACGACATAAACAAGCGCTCCTGGACCCAGGCGAGACAAATCCTGCTCCTAGCTGTGTTGTCCCCATCCCTCCTCCCCATCTCACTGCCTGTTTTTTACCCAGATAAGCCAGAGATCCTGCGGGAAGATGCCCACTACCAGCAGGTTGAGAGCACTGGCCTTCTCCTGGTGCTCTTTGTGCTGGTGCAAGCCAACCCACCTGCCAGCATCACCTGGGTGGACCAGGATGGGCATGTGATGGCCAACACCTCCAAGTTTCTCCTCCTGGGTGCCAACCACTCACTCCACATCCATCTCAGCTGCACAGCTGGAAACCTCTCCATCAGTGCAGCCAACAGTGTGGGCATCACCACTGCCTCCCTCATGCCCCCAGGTAACTGTTGAGGGGTGGGCATGGTGCAATGGCCCCATGGAAGGATGCTGAGGGGTCTGCACTGCTGGTGCAGGCCTGCTGGATGCCCGTGTGGAGCTGCCTGTCCTGGGTGTTGCCGTTGGAGCAGCCCTGGCCCTAGCCGCCCTGCTCAGCCTGGGCTCCTGTGCTGCCTGCCTGGCATGCCGCTTGCCCCAGCTTGTGCAAGGTCCGGTGCAAGCAGGAGGGAACAGCCCACCCAGCCAGTGCTCCCACTGCAGCAGCTCTGAGCCCCCGCAGCCCCGGGGCACACGTCTGCCCCGCCAGACCCAGTCCCTGCCACCCAACCTGCGCCTCGGTGACCTTGCACAGGAAGATGGAGGTAAAACCCCGATGTGCCAGTGCACTGAGACATGTGGGGCCCAGGTCCTGCCTGGGCGAGGGATAGATGTCCTGGCTCTCATTCCTTTGCTTCCCTGCAGCTTCCCCCAAGGATGCGGGAGCCAGTGCTAGGGGAGAAGAAAGTGCCCTGCTGGGACTGGAAAACTCCCTGGTCCTCAGCAAGCTTGGTAAGGGGAGCAGGCGGGCAAGCAGCCCTAAAAGATGTGTCGTGGGACATGGAGCTCCGTGGCTGCCCCAACAGGCAATGAGTTCTTTGTCTTGCAGGTTTTGTCCAGCTCCCAGTGTCTGGGCGCATCTACAAAGTGCCCAGCACGAGCAGTGATGAGATCTGGCTGTGAGCTGCAGTGGTGCCGGTGAGCCAGGGCTGCCCGGCACAGGTAGGTACCAGCCCCCGGAGCTGAGCAGCTGAGGGTGCCAGGAAGGCCGTGATGGGAAGCAGCAGCTGACCAGCCCCAGCTCTGTGCTGTGCTGTCAGCCAAGGCATGGTTTTATGTAGCCCCTGAACTTTAGCAATATTCTGTTACAATCAAAATGCATCAAAACTGTTTATAGCCAGGCTCTAGCACTGTGACTCCTCTTGGGGTAAAGCCAAGCACCAGCTTTGCTTTAGCAGGTTTGTGACTCGCTGTATGATCTTCTTTGCCCCTGTCCCTGCTGCTGTGGCAGACAGGTGGGAGGTCAGTGGAGCAGGGGCTGAGGAGAGCCGTCCCAACAGCAATAAACTGAATTTAAGCATCTGTGGTGTTGCACAGGTTATTTCTGCTTGACAGGAGCTAAGGGACAGTTCTCAACAGGAAAGAGGGTTCAATAAGAATGAGCAGAGGATGTTCAAGACCTCCAGATCAGAGCTTGCAACACCCTGAGCAGATCTGAGTGGTTTGCTGAGTGTTTATTCCTGTTTGCTCCAGCCCTTATAGTGTGTGCTCAGGGAGCCTCTGCTCTGCAGCACCTGTGGCACAGAGAGCCTGGCACTTGGAAAGGCTGCTTTAATTCTCAACTCCTTGGGAACAAGTCAAAAATGGAGCCATTAGGCAGCTTCTGCAACAAATATGGTGAGTCAAGCCCTACTCCCTAACACAGAACAGCCCAGCAATTTCTCTAAGACCAGAGAGGCTTCTGATTTGCTGTGTGATATCTCCCCAGCTGCTCTGGGTACACCTCAGTGTCCAGTCAGACAGTGATCCAGGAGATGGGGCTTTAACGTGAAGAATCAATTAAAGCTCAACACCTCTGCCTCCGTTGCTTGTGAGGGTGGGTTGGATGGTGGGCTCCTGCCCTTCTGCCCATCAGCCAGGGGCTTGAAGTGCTGCAGGGAAAAGAACATGCTCATGCAAGATTTGACTCCCACTGCTCAGAGCACACACATGCATCTGAATGTGCCGGCCACATGAGCTCTGCATGAGCTGTGTGCCCAGCAGCAGCCCAGCGAGATGCATTCTGGCTTGTGTTGGCCTGTTGAACACCACGGCACCTCAGCCCAGAGCACAGCCCAGCTCCCTGTGTCAGGCAGAGGCATCAGGGAGAGGAGCAGCTGAGAACATGTTCTCTGGGGCCCACCAGTCCTGTGCATGCTCCCATTGCCATCACAAAGCCAAATGTGAAGGGACCAGCTGCACAGTGCTGCTAGCTGGGGGAGCAGCACCTGGGTGGAGCTGCATACCTGCGAGTTCTTGAACTCCAAGAAGAGGGAGAAGAGGACATGCAGAGGGTGGATCCGGCTCTTGTACACGGGGATGTCCAGAATGGCTGCAGGTGAGATCAGAAGCATGTGAGGGCACCTGGTCTGCACTGCCCCACACAGAGCATTGTCAGGAGGGGCTGAATTCCCCACTGCCTACCATCACCTGGGGCTCCACGCACCAAAGACTGCAGACCCCTGTAGCACAAGAGCCCACCTCCCACTGAAGCAGCAGGAATAATCCTGACTGCTTGGGGCTGAGCCTGCAGCTAAAACTCTCTGGCTTTCAAGGAGAGTGCCAGGCCAGCACCACACGGTGTGAGCAGCACAGCCTCCCCAGCTCACCGCAGATCATGTCGATGTATTCGGCAAGGTCACAGCTCATCTCTGCACTCGGAAGACCCACCTGCAACAGACGGATCTGTCAGATCTGCTCCCGGACTGCAGGAGCCTGGGAGCATGCAGAGACCACTGGGGCAGCAGCTGGGAACTCCAGCTGCTCCCCAGCTTCTGCCAAGGGCACAGTCGTGAGGAGGAACAAGCCCAAGAGGACTGGGCTGTGGGATGGGGCAGGCACCCGGCTTGCATGGGAGATGGTTTCTAAGACCAAGCGCTGAGCTAACTACTGGTCACCCAGATGATCTACCTTTCCCAGGAGCTCCTCGAATTCTGGTGACCATTCCTGCATCAGGGTCTCGATGTCAGGCATTGGCCTGCCAGGGAAGAGAAGAACATCAGCTTCAGGATCAAACACAACCTTCCACTGCCAACATCAGGGCTCACCTGGAGTAATGGACTGTGGCAGGAGGTTTGCAGCGATGCAGTTCACTAATACTTTCAATCCAGCTCTCAATGGCTTTAGGGTTCTTTTCTGCATTCTCCAAACTCTTCACTTTTATCTGCTGCTAAAAACACAAATATAAACCTGGAAGTGTTTCATGGTGTTTTGGGGCTTTTTGGAAAAGCTGCATTCACTTCTGGTGAGCCAGGCCTACTCTCTTTCCCAGCTGCACTTTACCAATGAATTTCTGCAGACAAAATGCCAACTAAAACTGGGTATGAACAACCAAAAGGAAATAAAGCATCACCTGAAGTGAACAGACCCAGAGTTCATATCAAGACTTGACTTGATCAAGGCTCAGATCCACTGCAGTTTAAAACTATGGATAACAGCAAAAGGTCTGGTTTTGCTGCTTTTAAAGTCAACTTCTCAGTTGTAAGAGTAAAATGCCATGGTTTTACTCCAGGAAATGTACAGCAACTATGACCTCCCTCTCCTGACTCACGGTGATGTTGTGCTGCTTGGAGTTCTCTGTCAGCCAAAGGGAGAGCACAGTGGGATCTGACTGCTTGGTTGAGGGCTCATCCAGGACCAGCAGGCCAAGGTTGTCAGGTTTGCCATCGGGACGAGGAACCTGCAGGAAAACAGAGCCCTGTTCTCTGTGGAGTCCAGGGCAGGTTTGTACAGAGCCTTCTCTCAGATGTGCATTCTAAGTACTGCCTGAAAAGCACACAGTGCAGGAGAAGGAAAAGCCAGGCTTTCCCCCAAGTTACCTAAGTGCTGTCTGAGAGGTGACCAAACCACCAGTGCAGTTTATCAGGTCTCTGCCCATCACGTCTGACAGAGCAGGGACAGACCAGACCCCAGGCCTGGCTGCCTACTTGTTCTGAGCCTGAGTTCTGTTTTGGTTTGTGAGGCAGGATGGAGAGAGGAACCTGAAGAAACCACACCTTTAAGAATGCATCGATGTCTCCAACAGCAGGAATAAAGTCTGGAATAAAAGGCTGCAGCTTGTGCTCAATCTCTATCGTTTTGGGAGTGTACCTGGAAGAAAACACCATCACAGCATAGGTGACTAGAAACTGTGCTGCAATCATTGACACAAAGGAGAGCCAAGAGCAGGCTAAAACCCTTCCTCTCACCTCTTGATGTATTCAAAGAGATCTTTGATTTCAGAAGACACTTGCAGGTAGTCAAAATCTGCTGGATTGAAGTCACTAAAAGAAGGAAGAGAGTAGAGGGAGAAGATGAGCATGTGGCAAGTTCTGTACAACAGAAATCAGGACCCAGCTGGGGCAGATACACATGGGAAGCTGAAGCACCAGGCAGTAAGTACTCCCTGGAAAACACTTCTTGCACAGGGAAAGCATTATTGGGCCCCATTTTGCTTTGTATCTGCTGTCCAAGAAAAGCACCTGAGTGATGGACATCTGAGATCATACAGTTCCACACAGGGCTGTCAAATGGGGGCTAAGTGCTCTGCACAAGGGCAGCAATAGGACAGCAATTAGGGGGTCAGCAATAGCTTTGAAGCTGAAAACAATGGAAAAGGAGAAGAATTATGAGGATCTGAGTGACATGTTGGAGACGGTCCTTCCCTTTTCTGGACTTCTCCTGCCAGCCCAGCCTGGCTTACACCTTGGATCACTCCAGCTGTGCCTCTCCGGGGCACAGCAAACAAGCCCGGGACTGGTTCACCAGCTGGAGGAACCACCACCCTGCAGCACGGGGGACGAGGAGGCAGGAGCTGCCTGTCCCAGTGCCCACGACTCTGCTCACCCTCGTGGGACCCGGGGAAACCGGCAGAGCTGTCAGGGCCCGAAAGGCACCCGGCAGCCTCTGTCAGGAGCAGCGCTCACCCCTCCAGCGCGGCCCGGTGCTCCTCCGAGTCCTCCTCCGAGTCGCTCTCCGAGGAATCTTCCTCCGAGTCCTCCGAGTCCGAGTCCTCATCCTCGCTGGAGGCGGCTGGGCCGGGGAGGTGCGTCGCTGCCTCCTCCTGGGCGACAGCCGGGTCACACGGGCTCTGACCGGGATCTGACCGGGCTCTCACCGGGCTCTGACCGGGATCTCACCGGGCTCTCACCGGGCTCTGACCGGGATCTCACCGGGATCTCACCGGGCTCTCACCGGGATCTCACCGGGCTCTCACCGGGCTCTGACCGGGCTCTGACCGGGATCTCACCGGGCTCTCACCGGGATCTCACCGGGCTCTCACCGGGCTCTGACCGGGCTCTGACCGGGATCTCACCGGGCTCTCACCGGGATCTCACCGGGCTCTCACCGGGCTCTCACCGGGCTCTCACCGGGCTCTGACCGGGATCTGACCGGGCTCTCACCGGGCTCTCACCAGGCTCTCACCGGGATCTCACCGGGCTCTCACCGGGCTCTGACCGGGATCTGACCGGGATCTCACCGGGCTCTCACCGGGCTCTCACCGGGCTCTCACCGGGATCTCACCGGGCTCTCACCGGGCTCTCACCGGGATCTCACTGGAATCTCACCGGGCTCTCACCGGGATCTCACCGGGATCTCACCGGGATCTCACCGGGCTCTCACCGGATCTCACCGGGCTCTCACCGGGCCGCCCCCCGCCCGCCGCCCCCGTACCTTGCCCCCGCCGCTCCTGCGCTCGGCCGCTCCGACGGACCCCCCGGGCCTGCGGGAGTCCCGCGGCGAGCGGGCCCCGGGCTCGGCCTCGGGCAGCTCCAGGCTCTCGTCGTACGGCTGGTTCTCCACCGGGCGAGGCTGCGCCGGGAGGCACGGTCAGCGGCGGCGAGCGGCGGGGCGGCCGCGTCCGGCCACGCGTGTCCCGTGCCGTGCGCCCGCCGTGCCCCGTGTCCCGGTGTGTCCCGGTGTGTCCCGGTGTGTCCCTCCGTGCCCCCGTGTCCCGTTGATTCCCACCGCACCCCCGTGTCCCGGTGTGTCTCGCCGTGTCCCGGTGTGTCCCTCCGCACCCCTGTCCCACCTCCGCCCGCCGCGCTTCCCGCCGCGCCGCCGCCGCCGTCGCCATGGCGACCCCGCCCCGCCGCGCCCGGAGCGGCCACAGAGACCCGGCCCGGCCGCGCGCCCCCTGGCGGCTGGGAGGTGCCGCGCCGCCCCGCCCGCCCCGCCCCGCCCCGCCCCGCCCCGCCCCGCCCCGCCCCGCCCCGCCCCGCCCCGCCCCGCCCCGCCCCGCCCCGCCCCGCCCCGCCGTGACGGTACTTCCGGGTGCGGACGTGGCGCGGGGCCGCCATCTTGCGGGGCCGCCCGGGAGCCGGAGGGAGCGGAGCGCCCAGC